ATTATAGTATTATATATGACAATTTGTTTTACAAGTTGTATTCAGTTGGTGTACTCACTTGTTCAAGGAGAAGCCCTAGTATAGTAACTACTTGTTTCAAAAGGCAGAGAGAATATACCCCAAAATTGTTTTTCCATACAAATTTTCCCAGGAGATAAAGAAAAAGAGAATTAATCAGATGTACAATTTCAAAATTTGATATGGGTTTTCAAATAATTCTATTTTAGAATTAGGCTCATAAATGCACAGGGCAAATGTATAAAGGTAAAGGAAATATTTTCTATTATATTTTCCCAGGTATTTTGCTATTTTATTTTAAACAAATTCTTAAAAGTCCATGTCAGACCTGGAAGCCATCTTTTACTTTTTGGATTTCAGGCCTGCCATACTTTCTCCTGTTGGAAAATGGGAGGGGGGATTATGCAGAGCAGAGGTGCATAAAAAATCCTCTGGTTCGGCCTGGTTCAGCCGAACTGGTAGGGACAATTGTCCTTGGTTCTGCAAACTGGTAGTAAAAGAAAAGCTTTTGAGGATCGTGTGACAGGGACAAAATGCTTTAAAAAGCTAAAAAAAATAACTGAAAGTGAAAATAAAGTTGGCCATGCCCACCAAGTCACATGACTCCCCCAAGCCATGCCCACAGAACCAGTGGGAGGGGATTAGATTTCAACACTGATACAGAGTATGTGTGATGTGTAGCCATAATAACATTCTTTCTCAAAAAGTCAATGTCACTTTGTCCCTCCACCTGGATGGATGTGGATGGGACGAATCTTTCTTTGTGGAGGATTGGACCATGTGATAGACTTGTGGGTATTGGGGCAGGGTCTTGAACTTTCAATTGGGTGGGAAACCTGGAAGCTTTCAGATTCAGGTTTTCCCAGATGTGCCAACACAACAACTCTAATAAAGTGGAACTTGGAGGAAACTCAAGCCTTGGAGTTTTCTTTCGTTGGGGTGTTTCTTGGAACCCTGACTGAAATACACCTAAAAAGGATCTGTCTGGGAGTCTATATAGTAAAACATAGCACATTTTATTGCTACACTACTATAGCAATAACAATGTTTCATGTCATGGAACCATTTAGATTATTTGGAAAATCATGAGCTTTGGGTTCTCCCATCACTTCTCCCGTCAAAACCAAGTGAATTCAGATACATAGAAAGAAGAGCTACTACAACACTTTTACTTCCAGTCATTGCAGTTAATCCAGAAAAATTCCATGATCAATTATATCAAATCTCCAGAGAGTGACTCTAATAGTAATCTAATGAGGGGTCCTTGGTGCTCTCTGAGCCTGGTTGTTTTCTTACAGACATTTCATTACTCAAATTAAGTAACATCATCAGCACATCTGCAAGAAAACAACCAATCTCAGAGAGCAACAAAGACCTCTCATTTCAACCCAATGTGACTCTGGACAACATACAGCAAAAAGAAAAGAAAAGAATATAAAGTTCTCTGTGAACAATGCTGTATCTTGAAAGATGGGGAAGTAGGATTATAAAATAGCTATTCATCTGTTTTCATCTGTAAAAAATATATACTCCAACTAATATTCAGACAGATGCTTAGAGCCAAAAAATAATATAAATGGGTGATTTAATCATCTAGAGACTTAGTGTAAACATAATATCCAAGCTAAGACTTCCTGGTTTGCAACTCTGTTAGATTTAATATTGATGCTAGACACAAATGGTATAGATTTAGCTCATCACTGTTGACCTCCCTCCTGCAGATATTCTTGCTTTCTAGCACTGGTAGTAGAGTAATACAAGATTCTCCCAGGAGCATCTTCTATTTGATTAGGCATAGCACCACTTCAGCACAAAGCTCTCCCCTTTCCAAATAGAAAAGATACTATAGCAAAAGCTATTGACAAGGTCAGAAGAACCTACAAGTTGCACTTTGGTCATCATTGTCTATTCACCTGATTTAAATGGTTTAAGACAATCAATCACAATAATTACATCAGCAGTGAATTCCTTTTGGCACCACTTGTGCAGACTAAAAGAAATCTAGAAGAGTTATTTTATGCATTACTACTTAAAAATGAAGTCTACATTACAGATAGTTTTAACTGTTTACTTCATTCTCATTCTCATTTAGGCAAATTTAATATCAGTATTATTGCTACTATACACTGTTTAACTTGACTATCACCTACATTAAACTAGTAGGTAAGGTTCTGTTATTTGGGAACAGCTGGAAGGGGGATGATAAATGCATGAGAACTTTCGTTCAAGACTTCAAGATTATAATCTTGAGGTAAGAAAGCATAAAATTAGTATTCATTTTAAAAATAACTGTTAAAAAGAAAAAAAGTAATTTGTTGAAAAAAATCAAGCTTAGCTAATGCAATATTATCAAAATAGAAATATGTATTTTGTTTTAATAATTAAATACACCAGCAAGTATTGCCGGCCTAGTTGGTAAAAGAAAGCTGAGGACCATATTGGTTGGAAACATGCAGATGAGGCCTTCATTTTGCAGTGGATAGACAATAGCTAAAATGATGATGATTGTATTCATATGATCTTTTAAAATCTTTTTGCACATACATTAGAACACATTGCTGCATTCCCATATTACAATTGTGAAAACAAACTAACATCTTAATACACATTAAAATCACATACTCCTTAAAATAAATATAATATATAAGAATTCAATCAGCCTTATGAGTAAGCCATATTCATTAAAGATATACATAAAATGTTACTTCCCAAAATTACTTAGCAATACAATAAGATGCTGTGTTTTAAAAAGAAGAAGAAATTGATAAATGGGTTTGGTCATTTTAGTATACAACAATATGCAGAAGATCCTAGCTGGTTAGGGTTGGATTGATTGTATTTTAGCAATTTATATAACCACCCCTATTATGCAACCCAATCTCAGAGATCACTGTTACTGGAATGAAAGCTGCTTGCTAATGACAAGAGAGCAAGGAATAATGTGTTAAATATTTGACAATGAATAATGTATGGCTAATTACTTTGTGTAAATTTAGAAAAGTTTTTTCTAGAGAAAGAGAGAGCAAAGTGGTATATTTGTATACTTCCTTAATATGAAATGAAATTTTGGATAAAGCAGAAGTGACAAGGCATTTTTAAAGATAAAAACATTTCATGTTACTTACTGAAATAAAAGCTTAAAAGTATATTTAAGGGTATATCTAGAAATAGGCAAACACTAAGATAAATTATTTAAATAGAAAATAGAATTATCATAATCAAGTAAATTAAACTTCAATTCACACAATTGTCTACCAGCCAGGCTAAAGGTAAAACATTATGGGACTTGAAGTTCAGTTCCATCAGTTATATGAACTGAAATGTAGATTCGGTATACCTACATTTAGGCTGTAATATACATAGAACATTTACCCTTTTATATTTATGTTTTTTTCTGAATATTGTACCTTTTGCAATATAGTTGTAGGTACCCTGGGTGTCATTTGAGCTTGGTTGTTTTCTTGCAGATATTTCATTACTAGTGTTAATGAAACACCTGCATGAAAACAATTAAGCTCAGAGAGCACCAAGGTGTTTGATTCTGAGTTACAAATATTCACTTCTATTGGTGCAATATAATTCTCTGACAAAAAGAAGTTTAAAATGATATGTACTTTGATTAAAGTAAAATTTTAGAGTAAATTATTTATGAAAACTAATTATATGAAATAAAAAAGCTGTTTGGCATAATCATTCATTTTTGAAGATTCAGACTTCATTAGCTCAAAGTGGAACTAAGCAAGAAGAGCTAAAAGATGTCTAAGCATAAACCATGGCCCCACATGTCCTCAAATGCATAAATACTTCCTGTGTTTGGTGTTAAAATTTACATTATATCCTCAAGACTAAGTAGATCTGAGTGAATATACTTCACCCCTCTCTGCAAATGACAATACTGTTTTATAACTATAATGAAGTTTCTTCATTATCACAGATCATTATGAATGAAAAATTAGCAGACAAATGTACAAAGATTTTTTCCAAGCAACCTAACATGAAGGGAAAAGAAACATTTGAATTTCCACCAATTCTAATGCACAAATATCACCAAAAGGGCAATAGACACAAGTTGTTTCTATTTTTGTTTTACTTATTTTTCAAATAACTACTCCTTTAGTTCATTGACTAGCATTTCTCTTTTCCTTCCTTTTTTAAAAGTCATATTAATTCACAATCCGGTATTTTTAGATGAAGTTTTTGGAGTCCTCTCTATTAATCTGCATTGTCATCACTAGCTTTATACATAGTATCATGAAAGGACGTATTTTTGTTTAAAAATTGGGGTTTCATCTTTATTTTCTGCTAGACTTATTTTATATATATATACAGGTTTGATTCCCAGCAAGGGTATGGCTAGCTGATGAGAGCTAAATAGCTTGAAATAGATCTATACTATATANAGGCAAGTTGTTCAACTGATTAATTGTTCTATAGAATGCAATAGTTCTACAAGCCTTACTTGCTGAAACAAGAAATACTTATAGTATATTTACATGAAAAAAGGCTATTTTTTCTTTGAAATGGAAAGGAAGTCTCAAATAAAAATATGGGATCAAATAAGAGATGTTGGGTTTTTATTCCCCTACCTTACTTTTCAACCTCCAGTAACAAACATCAGTCCTAACATTTTTCCCTTTCACATAGGTTGTTCAGCTATGGTTAGAAAGCTTGAAAAAAAAATTTAAAATTTTTTTAGCACATCATATCCAAATCATTAAGTAGTGATATGATAATCAAAGACTTAATGATGATGCATTGCTTGTTGATGTCCAGAGGAAGTTGGATACACAATGAAGTTATGATTTTTTAATATGCAAGCTTGATTGAGGTGCAATCAATAAAACTAATGTCTGAAGTCATCCTTCCTTAACCCTATCTCATTTAAACAACAAGAGCTGAACAAACTGGAGAATTGTTTTCTTTGTCAAATCCATTTAGTATGGTAGCCTTCTCTGAACCAATCTCACAATTATAAATCATACCCCATTTTCATGTTCTCCTCCAAGAGTTAGTATCTTGGTTACTGGATTTTCAGGAATGCTGATATTAGTAGTAAGTGGCAAATGACCACTCTTTATTATAGGTGTAGATCCTGAAGAAGATACAGATTGGGAATGAGGCAGTGATAGAGAGTGGTTAGATAACTTGGTATCCAGTGTCAGGAATGGTTTCACTTGATGCTGTGGAATTTGCTGAATGTGATACCTCATTGGATTTTCCAGGTGGGCTTGAACCTGAAAAGAACAGGAAAAAATCCTGAAATGTTACATTTCCTTTGAAAGCCTGATATACAAATTTCTGATACAGAAATTTGATAGCAGTGTGACAAGTTATATTTCCACTTGAAATCTATATCCTTTGAATGCTAATACAAGTAGATTATTATTGGTATTGCTTGCATCAGAATTATCTATACTACATTCACAAGCCAATTAAAAAATGCTGGTATTTCAAACCATTTTTCCTTACTAAATTTTCCAGTTTTCAGTCACTATTCATCCCACTATTGGTGGGAATAAATATTTAGAAAAGATATATAGGCATTATTTGATATATAATTAGCATGCAACCCTGTTTTAAAAACTTGCCTGAAATGAAATCTATCTACACAGTTATATCCCAATAGCAAACATTCTAAAAAAATGGGCATTGCATTAACAAAGTAATTAAACATTAAGCATCTTTTTAAAAATTAGCTCACCTGATAGCAAGAGCAATCTGTCAAATGAGGCATTTTCAGATTTATCACAGGTTATCCAGGAAAGTATATTAGATGATGAAAGTATGACTTGACCAACAGAGTGTTCTCAGTGCTTTGCTTTGAGACTGAGAAAATTTTGCGCAACCAAAGAGGCATTATAACGTTAGTGGTCATGTCCTAAATGGCTAATTTACAGTCCATCCTTTGATTGTGCAGATTGACAGCCACAACTTCAAATAACACCCATTTTAGAGCCTCTCCACATTCCTACTATTTATCTACTTCAAGGATATAGGCTATACAAATATGTACTGTTACATTCAGCCTCTGGCTTTCTTGAAATACTTTAGTATGACTAAAGATAAATTTCTTCTAATTTTCTTCCAATGTTTCTTAAGTTTTAAATAATAGTGAAGCTTTTGTGTATTATATTTTAATTTACTTCTAACACTAAATGCACTATGCAGTTCTAATTCTAGTTTTGTAATGATTTTGTAATGATTTTTCAAGCAAATTTAAGAGGATCACAAACTCACATTCTTATACTAATCCTCTACATACTGATTGCTTCCCCAGATATCCTATGGTTATTTCATCTTGCTTTTACTTTTTTTCAAGTTCTAACCCATTATATGTATGTATGTATGTATGTATGTATGTATGTATGTATGTATGTATGTATGTATGTATGT